TTTTTTTTTGTGAGACAGGGTTTTGCTCTGTCACCCAGGCTGGAGTACAGTGGCATGGTCATAGCTCACTGCATCGTCCAACTCCTGGGCTCTGGCAATCCTCCCCTCTCAGCCTCCCTAGTAACTGAGATTACAGGCGTGAGCCATCACACCCTGCTAATTTTTTCATTTTTTAAAGAGATGGATTCTCACTATGTTGCCCAGGCTGGTCTCGAACTCCTGGCCTCAAGTGATCCTCCCACCTCAGCTTCCTGAAGTGCTGGGATTACAGGAATGAGCCGCCGCACCCCAGCCTTATGTTTACTTAATGACAGTAAAAGAGGATGTCTCTCTAGAAGGTACTGGGCTCCATATGGGACGTAAGAATCAAAGCAGAAGTGCAGATGGATTCTGATGACCTTTGCAAAGTCCTGAATAATCCTGCCCCTGAACCCCAACCCTAGACTTTTCAGCTTTTTGGACAATCAGTCTCTTTCACTTAAGTCAGTGTGGGTCAGTTTTCTGTCACTTCCAACAAAAAGTCTCAGCGGATCTAGCCATCAGCCCAAACGTACCATCTCCTTGGAGGGCGACTCTGTGAACCAGCTCACGGTGGAGACAGTGATGAGGGTGACCGTGGACAGGATCATGGAGAAGTAGAGGTAGTGGATGCTCTTCACCAGGACCGGGCGCTCATCTGGCTGGTCGCACCGAGGCTGCACGTAAATAAAGTCCAGGACCAGCCTAATCAAGCCCAGGAGCAGGCCCGAGATCAGGCCCCAGAAGGCACCCTGCAACATCAGAGCAAGATCGTCTTAGAGACGCCAAGGCCTCTGGCCTCCAGGAACCTCAAAAAGCCATCTCCAGGGCTTGTCTTTCTTGTGGTGGTCACTGCACGCATGGGTCAGCAATTTGGAAGGGTTCTGCAATACTGAACCATTTATCTTTTTATAATGAATCGACTACTAATAGATTACTAACACCCTCTTAATTTAGCTTCCCTGTTCAATAACAAAAAATGCATCAAGATACTTTTGATGAGAACCTCTCACTGTTTTTTTTTTTTTTTTTTTTTTTTGAGAGACAGAGTCTCACTCTTTCGCCTGGGCTGGAGTGCAGTGGTGCAGTCTCAGCTCACTGCAACCTCTGCCTCCCAGGTTCCAGTGATTCTCCTGCCTCAGCATCTGAGTAGCTGGGATTACAGGCACCCACCACCACACCGGGCTCATTTTTGTATTTTGTGTAGTGGTGGGGTTTTGCCATGTTGGCCAGGCTGGTCTCGAACTCTCAACCTCAAGTGATCCACCCACCTCAGCCTCCCAAAGTGCTGGGATTACAGGTGTGAGCCATCGCAGCAGCCCTCTCATTGCTTTCTTGCAAAGGTCAGATAAACACCCTCTCTGTATCTTCCACCATGAAACTCACCCTGCCTCTCAACACCCAAGTCCAGCGTGTATCTCCCTCCAGTGCCCTCCCCTCCCATCCTATCCCAGTCCTCAAGGGGCAGCACTTGGTTCTGGCCTAGTGGGAGCAGTCCAGAGCTACCTTTTCATTGGTCCTCTTCCAGAAACATCCCATGATGAAGACCACCGCCACGGGCGGCTGCAGGTAGGAGCTGATGGACTGGATGTAGATGAAGAGCTGGCCACCCTGGCTGGCCTGGACCACAGGGATCCATAGGATGGAGACCAGGACCAGCAGCAGCACAAACACCCTGGTGCCAGCGGCGAGAGGCACAAATTAGCATCATCTTCCCTGAACATTTACTCCTCTTTCTCTCTCTCTTTTTTAATAGGGTCTTGTTCTGTTGCCAAGGCTGGGGTGCAGTGGTGAGAGCATAGCTCACTGCAGCCTCCAACTCCTGGGCTCAAGTGATCCTCCTGCCTCAGCCTCCCAAGTAACTGGGATTACAGACACATGCCAATGCTTCCAGCTTATTTTATTTTATTATTTTGAGACAGAGTCTCACTCTGTCACCCAGGCTAGAGTGCAGTGTGCCATCTTGGCTCACTGCAACCTCCGCCTCCTGGGTTCAAATGATTGTCCTGCCTCAGCCTCCTGAGTAGCTGAGATTACAGGCACCTGCCACCACAGCTAATTTGTGTATTTTTAGTAGAGACGGGGTTTCACCATGTTGGCCAGCCTGGTCTTGAACACCTGACCTCAAGTGATCCACCGGCCTGGCCTCCCAAAGTGCTGTGATTACAGGTGTGAGCCACCTCGCCCAGCTGGGTTATAATTATTTGCTTATTCTCTTCCTTGCCTAGCTCCATGAAGGCAAGAACTGAGCCCTTTCATGGTTACGTGCCCTGTGCCTGGTACAGAGTAGGTGCTCGTTGAGCATCTCCTGAATGAACGTGGAGTCCTAACGCTCTTCAGCCTGGCTAAGTTGCCGGCTGGACCTGGACTTTGCCTCTGGGTGGGCTCAGCTCTCTCTTCCCCCTGCCCCAGCCCCACCCAGTAGGGACTTACCTGCCTACAATCATGAGCTCCTTTTCAGATGCCCGAGGCCGGAGGTGATTCCAGAGGTCCATGGTGAAGATGGTGCTGGCACTGTTAAAGATGGAGGTGAGGGAGGACATGAGAGCCGCCACCATCACAGCCATCATCAGCCCACGGAGCCCTGGGGGCGGAAGGGAGGTCATGGGCCTCGGCCCTTTTCTGCCAAAGCAGCCGATCCCAGTGGGCTCAACTGGAGGAGGCAGAACCTCAGGGAGGACGGCGGGGCAGAGCTTCCTGCAGGACTCAGCCTTTCATGGGGAGCCTAGAGCCTGTTCCTCCCTCCAGCCCTCCCTTCTTGGCCCTGCCTTGGATCAGAGCCCATCCAGTGATCTCCTTTCTGGGTGCTCCAGGGGACTTGATGCAGGGGTGAAGGGACTTTACCTGTGGGCAGGAGTTCCAGCACGAGTTTGGGATACGCGATGTCAGAACAGCCCGAGGGGTTGCTGCAGATCTTCTGGCAGATCTCGGGATCTGCACAAGCCACTTGATCTACGGAGGAAACACAGGCCCAGAGGTGAGCAGTCAGGCCCGCAGAGCCCCAGGCCCAGGCAACATGGGGCCGGACACAGGCTTATCATGTGGAAGTTTATAGCTCAATGAGATAAAAGAGAGTCTAGACTTTTATAAGCTGTGACCTTGTTACTTATGCTTTCTCAGACGAGTTGCCCTGTTTGTAAAACTAGGATAATAACATGACTTTATAGGAAGTGCTGGAAAAACTTCAGCTATTGTTATCATAACCCAGATGAAGCTGGGACACCTAGTGGCTAGTGGCCAGTCTTACAATAATGCCTTTTTTTTTTTTTTTTTTTTTTTGAGACGGAGCCTCTTGCTGTGTCGCCCAGGCTGGAGTGCAGTGGCACGATCCCAGCTCACTGCAACCTCCGCTTG